ATCGTTTGTCTTCCACTGAGGAATATTTCACATTTTCGTCCGCACTTTTCATTTTCACTTGACTGTCACTTCGATCTATCAGATTGATTCTATCTCACTTTCACTATCGAGACTAATGTACAATCCGAATTTGCGCCATTTTTCGTGTCCGTATCAAAACATAATGTCAAATAAATTCTTCCGATTTTCCATTTTTTTAACGCATTATAACTTTTTTTCAGATAGAGATATTTCGATAAAATTTTCACTTTCGTATAGGTAAACCTTTATACTATACATACTAACGCGTTTCCTGAATACCTCAAATCTTAATATAACCCGTCGAAACAACCAATGAAATGCCGACATAACTCGTCACGCGTATACAGTAAGTAAGTTCAAATACGCGACGACTACTCTCGTCATGCGGGATACCGAATAAATTTTATACGACGACTATACTCGGCGTGCGGTACACGATAACAGATAAAGACGACGGACTATACTCGGTACGGGGTCGAAATGAGTTTCATGTTTGAATTAAGTGTCCGTTGCTTATTTAGATATACATATTATGTTCGTAAGATTTTTTTTCATTACGATGGCTTTCCTATAGCAATTAGTCCATTGCGGGATTCATACCTACGGTGTGAATATAAGCAATGATTCTTTTATTGCACAAAAAAAATTTTAATATCATTGTAATCCCCGGGCACACTTTAAAACATTTTTCCCGAAGCATGCCATAAAAAAATTTTTGTTTAAATAAAACTCAAAGAAATGTCCATATGATTTGAATTTAAATATTGACAGGAGTCACATAACATATTGACTACTTTTATAGCCAATATCTTTATACCGATTTTTTTCTCAAAAAAAGCAGAGGTAAAAGGTTGCACATTAACACTCTTCCAGAAATTTAATTTTGAAGTTTTTTATAGTTTTCCATTTTTCCTACTCTATCATTTCATCTCTCGTCTCCTATAAGTATGTTGGACCGTTCTAATACCTTAACAAAATATACTTAACTATAGTATTTTTCTTTGTTTCAATGAAGAAATCAGTTGCAATATCCTCAACATCATCTTAATGACAATGTTACAAATCTACCTTCAACTCAGTTAGTGGATGATAAATGAAACAATGTAAACTGATGTATACTACACATATAAGTAAGATAAACTTTTTTGTACCATATTGACTGGATATCCTCATTATATATATATATATATATATCATCCGAAGTTTTCGCACTTAAAAAGGAATTCACTTAAAAGTAAGTAAGGAAGAATTTAACTCGTAGAGTCGGGAATGATATTTTTCTTAGCAGCATAAAAAATGAACTTAAGAAGTAAACAGTAATGTCTCATCTAATCTGAATTTCATTCTTTTTACGAACAGCATTAATAAATATAAATCAAATTTCATGACAATTAATAGTTTTAGCTAGACACAAGCATGTAACCATCGGCTTCTAGTTTTAGCGCATTACAATTGAGGCTAATTATGCAATTGTTGCGTCAAGGCTTCTAGTGTTGTACTTATAATCGGCGCCACGACATTTTAGCAAAATATTTTCTTATAAGAAATAGACAAAATGATACATTAAAGGGAGAACAATATATTTCTGCATTAAAGTATTTTGTAACTGTTTATCTTCCTTGTCAAACTGAAATCATAGCTTTGTTGCAGCCTTGATTAGTTTACGTCTATAAAATAAAAATATATCATAACACACTGTGATTTCACATGTCGTTAATTCTATAATCGTTTCTTTGCAAAGATTGGCTAAACTACAATATACCTTCTAAAACAAACTTGGTCCTACTCCAACATCACTTTATTCGCTTTGAAGATAATCGTTACATAAGCGTCGAGATGGTGTAAAAGAAATTCAACCAAGAATACCAATCATGGACATGTCTCAGTTCAGAGTCGAAAGTTTAAACTGTATTTCATTGCTCTCAATGTATTTGAAGATATTGAAAATTATTATTTCTACATGTGTCTGACGTCTTTCAAGTTGAGACAACATGCAAAACATTCAATTTAAACGAATCAAAATTACGAGTAGTCATGTCTCGTATAATAACTTTAAAGTGTGCCCCGAAATTTTAAAACATAAATCTTAAAATAAAATAGTTTTATAGTGTAATCTTTACTTCATTTTGGATGTAAAAGTATATGTAGCTGTCTGAATAAGGTACATATCCAAGGTTAAGGTCAAATATCAAGCAACTGAATTTGTGTCCGTATCTTCTTTATTATCAATTAAAGAATATTGTTACATTTTGCTATAAGTGATTGTCATTTTATTTAAGACCATACAGTATATTATGTTTCATTTTATTCATGATAAATTTGTATTCGACTTACATCCGGCAGGTATTGAGTTATTAAACAACAAAAAAAACATTGTACTGTTTAAATGGGATGCAACATCAAAACATATGTCATCAATTTTTCAATTACATCTTTTTCTGATGCCAAATATTAGGAATATTTTGTGTTACCACTGGTGCTCAAAAGCTGTTACACCTAAATATGTACTTATGTCAAGTCCCTTGCTTTAAATGATGTCTCTCCCACGCGCATTTGATGATTGAATTCATTTTTAGAATGAAGGTATTTTGCCATTATGACTGACGTTGTAAATAATTACTACGAGGGTTATTCAAAATTACCCGGACTTTTTTTTTTGTTTATTAGTGCCGTTTTCATCAAATGTATTAATGTTCAATGTTACATCTATTAAAATGTGAAAAACTCATTTATTTCATGTCGCCCAGAACTGTTTCAGTCCGCCTTAAGTCATTATTGAAACACCACGGCGATGCGGCTCATAAAGCGCGATGCACGTTGACATTTGAAAATATCATATTACAATGTACCTTAACAAATGGATTTCGTCAAACAATTGATGAAACTGAAACGCCACAGCGTTGCGGCTCATAAAGTGCGATGCACGTTGACATTTTAAAATATAATATTATAATGTACCTTAAAATATAGATTTCGTCAAATAATTGCTGAAACTTAATTTAAAGAACAAGAACTGTCTTACATAAATTCTAAGTAATTTTAACGATTTGTAGAGTTATCGTTTATTTAGTCAAAATCGATGTAATTATAGCATCCGGAAAATGTTGTTTCATACACATTGAACAACATTTCGGACAATCTTCTCCAGAAATATTAAAGATGGTAATAAAACAACAGAGCAACTATCATTTTAATCAGACAAAGGTTTAGGAGTGATACATATCTTTATCAGAAGTTTGGAGCAATTTCTAAGAAGGTTTTTGTTTTGGTGCGATAAAGTTATGATTTGTTTGTTTGTTTTGTTTTGTTTTGGGTTTTACGTCACATCGACACAGTATAGGTCATATCGCGACGTTCCAGCTTTCCTGGTGGAGGAAGACCTCAGTTGCCCTTCCGTGCATTATTTCAGGCACGAACGGGCACCTGAGTAGAACCACCGACGTTCCGTAAGCTAGCTGGATAGCTTCCTCACATGAAAGAATCCAAAGTCCAGTCCCTGTCGGGATTCGAACCCACAGCGGTTAGGGGCAAGTGGTTTGAAGTCAACGACCTTAACTACTCGGCCACGGACGCCCCATAAAGTTATGAGCATTACGATAAACTCACCGACTAAAAGACGAGTGTGCCAACGTGTGAGACATCGTCTAAATTATTTTAGGTTTCATTGAATGAATCAAACTGAAGTAACATAAATTTGCATATATCTAACATTTCATAAATCATTACTAAAAGGTCATAAAACACATGTTTGATTTTGTTTAGAATGAAAGATAAATCTTTAACTGGCTCACCAGTGTTTTTCGTCACCTGAAACATTACATTTATCCCACAATAAGGTGTGTCAATATTTGAATGTAATTGTATAGAAAGAGTATCAATTAGTGACTTCGAGCAAGAATCATTACTTTAACGAAACGAAAGTCCTCTACTCGAGCATTTGCGTTGCGATATATTACCAATTCATGTAGACACAGGAAATGTACGTATTATCAGTATAATAGTCTTTGTATGTAATGTGGTTCAGAGTCAATTGAAGATGAAATGTATTCCGTTCTAAAATGTAGCTTGTACCCTGATTTAAGATTTGAACCAATCAAGTGACATTTTTTTAATGATCAATACAATGAATTGACAGACAGTAACTATTTTGTATATAAGCATACTAGAAATTAGATCGGCATACATGAAACACATGGACCATTTTATTCATAGACACATATTCTGTTATTGTTAAGCCATCGCTTATCAATGAACTATGACAAACGCTAAAGTTTAGTTTTCGTTTTTGGCAATATATAAATCTATAACAGTAAAGAAGTATCCGTTAAAATAGCACACAGTGAGCATATATTGAACTTTTAAGTAAACGTATTTAATTTGTATTTGTTACAATCATATTGAAATAAGCCATTTTTAAGTTTTGTAAACAGCTGATACATATAAATTATGAAAATGTCGGTCATAAATATTCAACTTATTGAAATGATAAGTGATCTTAAATGTATTCTGCAAATTTTATGCATTGCATTTATATCTGTCAATTATACATTTGAAAGGAAGAAAGTCATAAGCTGGAAATTATATACAGAAAAATCACACGAAAAATCGGTAAGCCGCTGCCGCCACTCGAACCACGAACATCATTGACGATTAGGAATTTTTAACAGTACAGTAAGGTGAATACCTTAATATCGTTTATATAAGAAGAGTATTAACATTCATAACATTTGTGCTTTACATTCTTTTTAATGGCGGCGTGGTAGGGGTGTCTGGGGGTTCGCTTCTAAGAGATGTAGTCGCGCAAGCTTCTTCGAATTTCCATGTGATCCAGTCAGGTATCCAGTTAGCTTATGGGACGTTTGTGGTTGTACCTTTATCAAATCTCACAACGTCAGTTTGTTTCTTCTTATTTTATCAATATTTAAAATATAGTTACCTCAGTAGTGTTGTAATTATAACATAGACAATAAAAGACAATATGTTATTTTTTTTATTTACTGTTTAAGTAACAAACTTAATGTCTTAAAAGATGAAATTGTAGCTCATGAAACCAAATTCTAAACTTGATAGTTATGTAACGCACAAGTAATTGACATTTAGATAGGTAATTAGAATCCTCTGATGGAACAACCAGGTCAAAAACTATCTACTTGTTTCCTTTTGACTCAGTCATTATTTCTTACATGTTCTTACATATACTCTTCCTAGCCAGTCTTGCTTTACAGGAATGAAGTGGTCTTTAAAGGTGAAACCAGTGCATGCTTTGTAGACATGACTATAATACACTGATGCACATTGTTTTTGTGTTGTTTCGTCCTTCCAGTTTACACATGACTGTTTACATGTTCGTAGCGACATTGGTCCACCACGCCCAAGTCGTATATAATGAACTTTTTGAAAGTCAGGATACCTCAACAGTTCCTTATCAAACGAGCTGATGCAAGTTGCATTTCCTGAAATGAATTGCAATTTCTTTTCTTAATTAGACTGAATATATCTCAATGGTCTTAATAAAACGTTTACTTAAAGTTTCAATTACGTTTAAGTGAAAACTTATTTAAACAAAATTGTTGTTGTCTAATGTGTGATAGATTTAAAGACGTTAAAAAGAATGGATAATATATTTGCTTTCTTACAGAATGTCATAATATTTATTACATTTTCAAAGTCAATGTATAGATTTACCTTCCCTGTACAAAGTCATATCGTTGTCTTTCTCCACCCATTGTTTCAAATTATTTCTAAAAACATAAAATTCTTCCACATCTTTAACATATATTGAGATATATTCCAGGTCCCAACTAGATAACATACCATGCCAACTTCTACCATCATGTCCAATCTGTATCTTGTGTATCTATCAAAACATGAAAATTATCTACGATGAAGACGACAACAAGAACGATAAGTTGTGTGATACGAATCAATTAACTGGATATGCCCTTCAAAATAAAACACTGTGTAGACCCCTTTTAACGATATACCACTTTATATGACTTTTTTTTAAATTTTATTTACGTATTTCGTCTGATTTTAACATATATATTTGGTCATATATCTAGTCAGTCTGTTTAACCGGTTTGTATGAAAAAACTTACCAGCAATTACCATTTTTCCCCGCAATTAACCGACTTCTAGTCCAAATTAATTCTGAATCAGCTGTGAGGGACAAACGTATATAAGACTTAATTTCCAAGGCCAATTTAAAAAACATGAAGTCCTTATTAAAATTACAACGCATTTATGAAATTAAAAAAAAAAAACAACAAAAAAAAACAAAAAAAAAAAACCTTCTAAATTGGTTCTGACATTAAGATCAAATTAATAGAATGGACGTAATTGACGGAAAGACGGGTGAATTTTGGAGGGCCAAGTTCATTCTAGTTCAATGAGGAAACGAGCAGATGAGCAAAGGTAAATAATTAGTTTGTAAATATCATCAATGTTATCATCATCTCAAGGGAAAATATATCATACTGTTCTTATAAGTATTAACTTCATTTACAAATTTTTTATGAAATTAATAAAATGTTACGAACGGGACGTATATCTTTAGCAAATATTGCTTTTTCGTCGACATCACCAGATTCAAATGTTCCCGAAAAATCAATTGTTCCTGTACTTCCTCCAGATCCGATCAAAGAGATGTATACATTGGCATCTGTACCAGCACCATGACGTGTTCCTGTTTTCGCACTGATTAGATATGTTATACCTGATAAAAGAGGAATTACATGATTATCACAAACCAAATTTTATTATTTACTACAAGTAAAGTCTTATACTTTTGGAAGATATAAATATACATTTCCACAGCAAAAGTTTCAGGATAAAAGAATAAATCTTGTATTTTTTATGATGAGTATCAAATGAGACACAATTTTGTAGATTGAAATTAAATTATTGAACAATTGATAAAAAACAACAACTATTAAAATATAATCAAGGCAAAAGTTGCAAAAATTAAAGTTTTTTTTATGAAAATCAATGTAACATAATATATCGCAAACTACACACCAACTCAACGAAGTGATCAAAAAGCAATACATCCAAAACGTCACATTAAGTAACAACATGTCTTATGTTCTCTTGTAAAATAAACTGCATTTTATTACTTATTTAATCTCAGAAATGTAGAGGATTTGTTAATCTTAATTAATACGTTGTTTGCGATTTTTGATCATGTGATGGGCAGGAACTTTCTAGAAGCGTTTTAAAATCTAAAAGTTTAATATAATGTAATATTTGAAGCATTGCTCTGAAACCTATATTGTTCACCATTGTTTCATTGATTATAAATGTCTTTTTTATTTCCCTCCGAAAAAGACGAACCTGGATAGGAAATCAGTCACTGTCCTTTTATCAAACAGTTTGGCCGGAGCATAATTCTAAAAGAATTAAAGATACCAATCCTTCTTTTTTGTGAAGTTAGGTGTTGTTTCCTTTTTTAATTTAAGGTATTTGTGGTATTAGTGTTCAATTTATCGATTTGAGCCTCCATAGGTTGATACATCCCACTGAGGAACAGTGTAATTCGAGGAAATTTTAATAATAACTTGTAATATTATTGTCCATGGTTAAATTTTTACCTAAACATTAATTTGACATCCATGGGTACATAAAGAGTGAACATGAGACAGTCAAAATAAGTTAACAATTTGTCATAATTACTTTAAATTTTATCATTTACTTTACATGAAGGATAAATATTCACTAGGCCCTGTGGAATGTGTGTAATTATCCGTAGGAATGTACCAAGAACTTTCAATTTATAAAAAGATTGGCGTAGTCTTTTTTATATTTTTAGGTATATTTATGATTTACCCTAAACATTTTCTAATATCATGTGTTGGTCAATAACTATTATAACGACCAGTTTATTGAAACACAAAGTCAATTAAAGTCAATGAAAAATGAGCATAATGTCACTTTTAAAAAAATTTTAGGTACAAACTTAAAATTCGCTATCATGAAAAGCTTATTGAGTAGGACCGCAGAAGAAAAATCTATTTTTCACAAAGTTCATCGCCTAATAGGTTTCTGACAGAAGTTTGCAACTGTTTGTAAACAAACAACTTTACCACCACGTAAAAGCTTTAGAAGGCATAATATTTTGCGGGCATTGTATGAAATAATTGCGAGCTACGAATGATCTATTTAGTCCCTTCAAAAGAAAGTCATATGACAAGAAAATGATGTGCTGAGTCTGAAAATAGTTAAGGCATATCTAATAAGCGATAAAAAGAATGAAACATCTTCTATCGTCAACGTGTGTATATAAACTGTTATAGACAGTTACCCCATTGATATTCTGTTAGCTTGAGGTATGAGTAAGAACAATACAACTTCGACCAAACCAAAACAGTTTTGTATCTAACAGAGAAAAACGGAATCCTTCAAGTACCCCCAAAATGGTAACATTGAAAATTGTTGCAGACTGTGTTAAGTTTTGCTTGTTTACTTTCTGAAGTGGCAAGTGCAATCTGATGTCAACGCCCGCCAGCACTGACCTTTATGAGCTATGACCATCCATTTTATGTTTTTAAAATTCATCACTGATATTCATATTGGACTATGTAATCTAAATATATACTTAGTTTTTTTGAGTTTGTCTTTTTCAAGGAAACGTTAACGATAAATGTGTTGACTATTAGAATTATACAAATGAAACCTTCTAAGACTGTTGAAAGCGTCATTTGGAAAATAATATGACAATCGCACAATAAATATATTGTTCTGACCTGTTCGGATGTAAACGACCGTTCAACCATAATTATTATTATATTTTATATTTCTTCCATATAGTTTCATTCAAGAATAAGCAAGTAATTTAAAATTAAACAGGCCTTCATCAGGATATGTCTGAACTCGAACACAGCTTGCGCAGTTATATTAGATTCGTCTCACGGTTAGTCTAATTAATATTTTTCAAGCTATGTATGTATTCGTTGTTAGCAAGACATTTGAATGTAAACGACTGTTGTGGTTGCCGTTCCATATACAATAAATTTCTTGTTGGTTGAAAATTGAACCGGATGTTGGGAAGTAATTAAGAATGTTTTCAACATCACTATTGATATGATCAATATTTGCATATGAATATAGTCAAAACATATTTTCAGAGCTCTATTATCAGATATTTTAGTTAACAATGAAAAATAATAATTGCCTTTGTAATCTCAAAAGTCATAACAATTTTAATGTTTAATTTTATTTCTTAACGTTTTTCATTTTTCTATATAATTTTTACAGTATAAAAAACGTATATGCATATTGTAACAAATACCTTTTACACACGTTATAACATCGGACCATGTTCCATTATTCTGGCATGTCATTCCCTTATCGGATGATAAAAAATGTCCAGGACTACACGTGAAATCGCTAACTGTTTCGCCAATATCATAATAGGTTCTTGGAGTGTTTAACTTTGCCATATTTTCAATTTCAGGAAGTCTACAGGAACCTTTTATCATATGATAAATTAACATTTCAAGATAGACAAAAAAAACAAAAACAACAACAACAACAAACGAACAGCAATTTATAAACATAATACTTCCGAATAGTTTGTTTTCTATTTATTCATATTCTTTTTTTTATGAAATGTATCACACTTTTCAGTAATCAGGTCAATCAGACAAAGGAATAAACATCTCATCGATCAAATCTGAAATTTAAAGATTCTATCATTGGTTAATAACGGGAGAATAACAGTTTCAAATTAGATAAAATAAAATGCTGTAATAACACAAAAGAACAGGTGTAACGACAGAAATAACGCTAGTTATGGTGAACCGAATGGCATAACACAGTATAAACAAACGGCGTATCACAACACAAACTTGCTTTATAACGCGAATAAAGACGTCATAAAGCAAACCAAGAGACGTTATCACGCACACCAAGAAGCGTTATAACGTGAACCAAAAAGCTTTTTCTTGCATGTCAGACTAGAATGAAATCCGGAAATTTCATCTGGCATTGGGGGGGGGGGGATGCCAGAGGAGTCGCGTGCTATACAATGGCTTGCTCAGATTAATTTTACCCTTATGAATGAAGTTGTAATTTCATACGCTGTTGTAACAAAATAGTTACGGCTGTAATGACATAAATATCAATGGAAAACTGTTTTATATATGTAAAGAATTTAAATTAAGGGAAATATGGTAGAATATGCAAGCATAGATATGCGGTTTGGAATAATAATAAAGTTTCTCGCAGGTCCCCTCAGGACGGATATTTCAACCTGGACCGCAACTTATAACTGGTATAATAATTCGCCAATTCAAAACCATTCAATGTTTATCGGATGGCCTAGTTACGTGAGAAAGGTAGAGCAATACTGATCTAAATTAATTGTGTAAGAAATAGATTAGCACCATAATCATATTAAGTTATCTACGGATACCTCCACATGTTACGGTCTGTTTGTTTTTGTTTTGTCTTTTATAAGGAGACACTAACCTAACATACAAAACTGTAATGTATCCTTATTATGACTTAACTTAAACTGTATCACCATTTTAGGCGTAATTATCACATAACTAAGACAAGTACAAATGTTGCTGTAATGCAGCAATTGAGAAGCTCCGCGCAATAAAACATGTGCTCATTACAGATACCTTACCAAATTATTCCTATGCACAGGTCATGTTATATTCAGATTAAGTACTATTGTAGATTTTTTCCGAATGTATTATAAACCATTTTTTGCATAATTATACTTATCTAATGCACTGTCCATAATTGAAAAGAGGGGAAAAATATTTTATATAAAAATGCTTTCACTGATGCCTACTTGGTAAGGAAAGTAATTCCATTGAATACAAACAAGACTTACAAGACTTGTAAATGTAATGTGACATGACTGTACTGTGTTCTGTTTGTGTAGTCAGTAACATAAGATGATAAAAATATCAAAGTCTTTTTATTATTATTATTATAATTGTAACAAATATACAAATAGTAACAAAAGGGACTAATATTATAATATAGTAATATTACATGCATTTTTTCATGTCAAATTTAAAAAAATGGTTTCTTTCAATACAGAAAGTAGTACACACTCTGGAATGAAAAAATGGGATGAAATTTAAAAGACAAAATTCAGGATTTTTTTTGTTTGTTATACACGCGTTACATGGTGATACAGTATTTATCAATATAATAGAAGACTGTTACCTGAATTTTAGGCAGGTATGAGGAAATTCACTAACATCATATCATGTTCGTGTGAGACAAAGATATGAAAGCTATTTGACATTAGTTATATATAAAACAAACTATTGTTAATTACTTTATTGGGAGATCAATATATATTTTTGTTGAATTGCTTTAAAACAATTCATTAAAAACGTTACACTTTAAGTTCAAACTGCAGATCAAAGTTTCTGTTGTTATCATAAGATCTATCTATAGCCTATGCTTAATGAGGGTCCATCCGCCCGTAAGACCACAAAATGCAGCTTTCCCTGTCGAGTAAGGACCCCCAAACATGTCACCAGTCATACCCTTTTTCTTTTTTTCTTTTTCACAAAGTGGTATGCTATATGAAATGTAACTGTATATACTAAAGTAACAACCAATATATCAACATGCTATTATTAAACATTTAATTTCATAAATATAAATTAAAAATAATTATCAAAAGCAAAATTGTTAAAGTCTTAAGCCTGAAATATTCTTTATATTGAAAAATTCAATCACAAATAGTATACTTGATATGCTGTGTGTAAATGTAATTCAAAATGTAGCAAATTATATATTCATGTACTACTAAAAAAGGGAAATAACAAATTTATAACCTAAGTGTCAAAAATCAGAACATTTTTTTATAGGATATCGACCGAGTACGAGGTATTTCTGTTTAGGAAAGACCTGGTCATGAATTTCATGTGACACCGAGAGCGCGTAAATCGATGTACGAGGCCGATATAGTCCAAGAAATTAGTGAAATAATTGTGCACCTTCTGTGAAAAGCATGAAACTTGGCATGGTGTCAGGAAATATTATTTCAGTTCATTTCAGCCTGGGATCCACTTTTTAAAAATCCAATTTGGCTGCCAAAATCCAAGATGGCCGCCAAAATATACAATGTACATGGGACATGACAAAATGAAGTTATTTACGGCATGAAAATGATATAAATAGACATTGTAGGTCAAAAATAGTAATTTTGTGGGAAAATGCTTTAGTAGCATCAGTAGAAAATTCAAAATGGCTTCCAAATCCAAGATGGCCGCCATTAAATAATGATTTTTGGACAATTTTCTATGATATGGATGATTTATATGACCAACATTTTTCAAACACATAACACACAAATAAACAGGCCATCCTGCACAAAAACTGCACACACAGGTGTACATTCACAGAGAAAAATCTTTATTCATATTTTTTAGCTTTGTCGAAGAATAGGGAGCAATATTGTACACAAAAGTCGTCAGTTTTCCAGTTTGGCTAAGGTTTTGCATGCAAAATGGTTTTGTAAAAATTACACCTTATACACATATTTATGAGCATAATAGAAGGTCACTAAAACCATATAACCATTTATAGACCAATATCTCTATAATGGATTTTGACAGAATTATGGCCCTTTTAAATATGGAGAATTCTTCATTATCTAGGTTCTTGTTTAGCTATCAAGCATTGAGAACAGTCGAACACTCTATGTTGTCCTACTGATAGCTCTTATTTATGTGCATGGTTTCGACACCATGCTAACCGCTAATTTTAACGATGGCCTCCATTACCTTACTATCAAAACACAAGAATGACTCTAATACATGTGTTTGTGCATCCACAATCTGCAGAAGGTTAATCCTAAGCCATAGGATAAGGGCTTTAAATGGAC